ATTTGGAAAGCAGATTTGAAGTCAGCATCCAAAAACACGTCCAGCAGTGTAGGTCTCATTTTAAATGGCCACTTCGACTTGGGATCCTTCCCTGGTTAGAAACGGATCTAGGAGGAAGAATATGATCCCAAGCTAAGCCTCAAAAGGGGAAGAGCGGTGGGATGGGGGCTGGGATGATTACTTCCTGCAAAAAGCTGGGATGAGGTATGAGTTGAATATTCAATTGACTCACCCACCTCGGTACCCCTTCTCTCCTAAAGCTCAGATCAAAAAACTGTATGCTCTCGGCTAAGAAACGTTAAAGAACACATCTATGGGTTAACTACCCTATGTTGAATTTATGTTGAAAAAAGGGGAGGTTTCCCAACTATGTTATCACCTTCGATTTTTGTAAAGACATATGTACATAGCACGATGCCGATGCCGGTACAGATCGAAATCACAGCTTTGAAGTGCTCACTTCACTCCGCAGTTCTCACACTACTCCATCAACCTACTCACCAAGTTGCTGCCTTATATACATATAAGAAGGAAGTGTAGAATAGAGCTAGGTTTTCCATATCACTACCATTATCGTAATCATAAGTTTTGTGGACGCACAGACCGACATACCGACACACCGACAAACCGACAACCTTACAAACCGGTACACCAAGTATCTGCTTTATAAATGAGAGAGATTATTATTGCCATTATTACTTGTCACTTTCTATTGACTCTCTCATGACAGTAAACAAGCTGACGCACTTAGCAAGCCGAATAAAGTAGGACTTTTTTAAATACATCTGTACTCTAGCACTTTTTTCTTCCAATCTGGGGCTCCTTATTCGTCTCTATCGATGGTATTACTTCTTATCGCCTGTCTCCACTGTTCCTATCAGGTCGCCTATAAAAGCTTGAAGGATAAAGTCTTGGGGCAGTAATCAGTCCTGTAAGATGCGCCCATGCATTCTACTTCCATTCGGAATCGTAATGGCGTAATGAATGCGTATTCGGCCCAGTGGAGAAGTTACACACTCTCACACCAGCACACCGACACACCTACATTTACTTAACGAATCATATGTATAGTAGGATTATCATTCTGAACCGTATAGTAAGTTCAGCTTGATGACCTGCAAAAAATCCGTAATTTAAGGTTTTGGAAAAGTGTTATTCAGCTTTTTACTTTTCAAACTACATATGTGACAGAAAGGCAGAATCTAGAACGTTTTCAGGGTTATTTTACGATTTTCGCTTGTCTCGGGGTTGCCATCCATGCGGAAGAAAGCTTGGTAGCAGCAGTCGTGGTAAGGCTTAAGGATAAAAGCTTCGATTGAATATTGATTTTTTCCGATTCTCAAACACATTTTTTAGGAAAAGCCCAAGTTACATACATTCACACCTTATGTAACTTATTTACCATTTAAGGAAAATGCTCCTAATATTTCATGGCGGCTGCGTCGGACCCTCAGGTGTAGGAAGCAGCTTTACATGAAAGAAGCCGTTGTCTACCACTATCAATCATTGTCTTCAGACTTACCACAACACTATCGCAGCATAGAACCATTGAATCCGTCTACGCCCAGATGACTGTAGAACTGACTGTATGGTAAAAATTAGGGGACTCTCTATCGACGAGCTTGGTTAACACTCAGTTATCCAGCGCAGTCCAGAAGTTTAATCATCGCCAACGTTCAAACCAGTAAAGGGCACTGAATGTTCTAAGCCTTTCAAGGCACTTTTTCTTACTGTTCTGCTGAGATAGATGAATCACGACGAAGTGTGGGTTTAATCTGCAGAACATGATATCTCGCTTATGTGTAGTGGCAATCCTGACAGATTATGATAGGAATGACGAAAGATTGTCAAGTTATCGTCAACACGTCTTTTGAGAGTGGATGGTGGTGATATACTGAATTTTTTTCAGTTATTTCGTCACGGTGCAAGAGCTCCCCACAGCGAAGTGACGGATGCGAAGTTCAAAAGCAAATTTGCAAATGGCTTGGGAGAACTGACTACGGTTAGCCTTTTAAGTAGAAGCAAAACTCTCCGCACTGCTTTTTTCGCAGTGTTTTCACTCCAGGATGGAATAGAAGGCAATAAAAAATTAGGAAAATATCTCGAAAAGCGTTACGTGGAGTCAAAATTCTTGCGGGTCCCATTGTTGCCACAAGAGGTACGTTCGCTAATGGTCTGACAACGACAATCGTACTTAAAGTTGGCTCCGTGCAGAGGTTTCTAACTAAGGTGTTAAGGTTTCCATTCCATACCAGATTTGAGCTTTAAACGACAAAAGACGCAACAGTTTTGTCGAGCACCGTATTAGAACAATCAGAGAACAAACAAACCAGAGCAAGAAATCATCGAGATTCCCCGAGCGGGTGTTCAGCGCCTTCGCTTGAAGGGCCCAGAGTTGAAATGTGAGGAGGCAGTTCCTGAAATCGAGCGTTTTCCTGATTTACATTTCGCATTTCATTACATTGCCATTCGCAGCTGCGAGCGAGCCAATCGGTTGCCTGATATCGACTATTAAGCAATAGATATAGCAATAGCAAGATCTGTTACCTCCTCTGTGTTCATGGCGGAACAGAGCGCGATCGTTTTGTTTGTTGAGGATTAGCTTTGTCATGAAAATTTTCTCATCCACGAACACAAGAAAAGAATGCTTGTTTCCTCTCGAATGAGCTAACAGCGTTCTGCATTTTTTGACCATATACTACATGCTAAGATAAGAAAAGAAGTGGCATTTCTGCATACGATCGGAATGGCAAAGAAGCTACTGCTTGACAATACGCCGAATCGTCAAGTTCGATAAGCCCTGCTCCATTGCCAACTCTTTGATGGATCACCCAGGATCACGATTTACTCTCACCATCAGACAGATCATTTCGGTAGTCCTATCATTATGAACACCGGTCCTTCTACTTCTTTTGATTTTATCTTCGACTGGTCCTGCTTCTCTGCCTTTGATAGTCTTCTGTATGGTCACTATTAGAATCACAAAAATCTTTACTATCTATTTGACTACAAATGCTTGTAACTGCCATAGAATAAGCCTTCACCATCTGAAGGATAGTGAGCGATGCACTAAACACTCGGTTTTCGTTCTGAATCAAAAAATACAAGAAATATCTTCCATAGAACAAAGTGAGAAGACAGCCCTACAGTTTTCAGTGGCCCACATAACCTTATCAGTTATTTAGTTTGTCAGTAACCAACGTAATTTTACCAACCAACGGTCATGATGAATGTAACTTCTCTAGTGGAATGGAATGTCTTTTGTCTCTAAAACTCACACATATTTTAATAGACACATAATGAACCAGTGAAAAGAAAATATTTGACTCACTCAGAAGGACCATATGGTTTTTTCTTGATGACAAGAATTGCAGATATACATCCGAAGTAAATCAAACAACCGTTGTTTGATGACGGGTGCCATGGTGGGCTCGCAAATGTTCTCATCTGGTTGGAGTTCAGAAAGAAGTGCTGTACCCATCTACTCTTACGAAAAAGGAGAAGATGTAAATGGTTTTTCGCGGTGCTAACCACGTGATAGAACGATTTCTACTGATTACTTTGATTCTGCTTCAGCTTCTGACTCACCCACGAGGATGCTCCTATGAATATGGTAGGCTGGAAAGACTGTGTAATCGCAGGCCCGATCAAAACATCAAGGTCGAAAAAACTCCTGAGTATTCCATTATGAAAGCTCATGTTCACAATGCTTTCAGTGGCCCATGTTCGAAGGCTTCGTTTTTGAGTGCTTAGGCCTTCACAAGAACACCACGTTGTTCAAGGACGCCAAGGAATTTTCAAAAATGGAAGCCTTATACATAGAGGTAGAGAAGCTATAGAAATTAGTAATCTAAGCCAAAAAGGTAATCTTTGTGGAAAAAAAAAGTTGCTCATTATGGAGTTGATCTTATGGTCTTTCCCGAGCTGCTAGGCTTAGGCTGATCTGATCCTACTTGATCTTGACAGGAGAAAAATGGATTAGAAGGTCCAGAATGGTATGAAAAAAATAAGGAAGAAGCCCATAGACTGTACAATAAGGTACGCTTTTGAATCACTGTTAACAGTTCCCACCTCTACACTTTACCCTCTCAAAAAAAAAACCATCGCTTTCCCGATGAACGTTTCTACGCAGCGAGATTTTTGTTCAGCTTTCTCAAATTAATGGTATTGCAGAGATCCCATCATCCTACCGATTCCTAGTATCACGTATCAATCCTTCTACATTCTTCTAAAACATTTCTGACGTTTGTTGCTACAGTGCCACGTCAACTGCTGCAGCACGTCTCTGGCAGCGTCTTCTTGCGGGGTGCTGACATCAACGGTAGCGTGAGAGTGTCTTTAAGATCTTCGCACAACTCGAACTTTCTTCAAGCACTTCTTTCAACAGCAAACACTATCAATCAACCATCAGGGCATGCCCCATCTCAGTCGAAGAATTTTTTGCCAAGGAACGGGCAAAAGTGGACAACTGTTTTAGAAGATTGAATCTTCTTTGCTTCAGAAGTAGATGCTGATAGGCTCTCTGAAAAGACCCAGGTGTTCTCTTCCCCGAATGTATAATGCATCTGGTTCCCGATTGTGTAAAGTGCGACAGTCCCAGAACACTCTTGAAACTTTTCCGGAAGGGTTCTGCATAGCGGCATTATTCTTCGGGCATGATTTCAATTTCAGAAAAGCAGCTACAATTTGTAATAAAGCTCTAATGACATTAGATTTGCTGATTTCCCAGTTCGCAAAACGGGACAGAATTCTTGAATACAACTTCTGGACAAACCAGCAAGGTGGCCGCGCGGCCGTCATCACCTCTTGCAAATCTGATTGCTGCAAATACGAATTGAGAACCCTATGTTTTCGATTCACATGCTATGTGACTCTCCGAAAGAGGAGGTTCGCCCATGTTTCCAAATCTGAAGTACTTCTCTTACTACTTGTATTCGAGAGCAATGCTGTATCCGCCTAGGACGCAAGATTTCAGTGAAAGGGCTTCGCTGCATCATTTCTATGACATTGCTAGCCTCTGCACAGATCAAGGAAACCACCGAAAAATCAAGGGACTGGTGGAGGGCAGTACCCCATCTTCCCCTTCTGAACTAGCCTGGCGCAACTCAACGTGGTCTTGACTGAAGTAACTTTCACTGATATCGATGACGTAATTAGAACTTCCACTCAAAGTATTTTCAGTTGTAACATTTCCCTAATATCTATGATATAACCAGAATCGTCAGAAATATTCTCGTGTTCCGCTGTAGATTATGATTATGATGCATAATTATTGCGGATTTTTTCGCGGCTTTTTTCTCTCGATAGGATTTAAATATTGAGTTCGGATTTTTTCTAGAAATGATCTACTTGATTTTCTCTACAAGAATATACTCAAAAAACCATCCGCATATTCGCGAAATTAGGCTTAACTACTTCGAGAAAGATTGGAAGGCGGCACAGTCATTCCGCGATCTCAGTAACTTTTCGGCGATCGAACTATCAGCCAGAGCCACCCAACAAATGAGATCTGCCCCTAAATCTGCCATACTCACCAGCAGAAGCTTTTATGGATTATCTCGTCAACCGTTCATCGAAAAATGGCTAGAGAATAGAAGTCACGTCGATTTGGATGACTTGATGGCCGATGTCAAGGCGTGGATCGCCCGTAAGGATCGAAACTTCTTCGCTTTTGGGATCCGACTAACTAATCAATGGGGAAGCAGTGCTTGACGTAGATGGTGAATAAGTTCCGGAGTAATCATTTGAATATGGCTCTACTTAGTATTTCTATAGTTTCTTTAAGTAAAATTTGCTGGAAAAAAAAATCCGCAATAATTATGCATCAACCTAATACATGTAAATAAATTGACTTCCATTGCACATCGAAAGCAAGAACAATGCACCTCCTGCTGTTGCAGTTTACAAAAAAAAGTGTTTTCTAAGCAAGCGGCACTTCTTTTTCCGGTAGTGACCTTGTAACTGTGCGAAAAAAAGAAATTGTGGTTCTAGTTCAGTGATGTTTCGTGAGAATCATCGAGTTCATGAGAGTTCCATGCCCAAATTTTGAAACTTTCTTTTGAGAAATGAATAGCTCCAGCAATCGTGCTCTGGGACTTTTGAGTGTAAAATCTAGAGAGCGAGTGATGTCGTACTGGTTGACTACAAAGAATTAGCGTAGTTTGCCTGCTGGTCCTAGAACAACAGCAAGACGTTTCTTTACAAAGTTTGCCCTTTAATCCAAACACGTCCAAGCTAGAGCCGCAAGACCAACTTGTTGGGGATAAGTCTTCTTCTTATCACCTATAGCCTGGTAGTACGTGACAACAGCGTAACATGTCGTGGCACTGTTAACACTTTTTGAAGTTTTAAACGCCAAAGAATTTNAGCCTGGTAGTACGTGACAACAGCGTAACATGTCGTGGCACTGTTAACACTTTTTGAAGTTTTAAACGCCAAAGAATTTCTATTTGAGGCAGTGTCTCGCCGAGCCGAGTTCAAGCAATTAGGGCAATTAACTTATTGCTGGCAAATCCAAGGCGTAGTTGTGAAATTCTCTCTTTGCAACCAAACAAATCAGGTCTCTTGACGGCATCGTTTGGTTTTTTATTTGGTGTGTCTACGTTTCACTGAGGGCTTTCATCTTATTTGTTGGCATTTATTTAGACGAACAACTTATTTACAGCTGTCGAACTTTCTGAAGAAGAAGTAGTACGGCGTATAACTTCATATCTCCCTTTTATCTCATTCCTCATTGATGGAAACACTGGATACCTTTTTGATGACTGTCATCATTCTTAACAGAGAGGGAAAACACTGCTCCCGTTCAGACTAGTCAATTTATTTATTTATTTATTTATTTATTTATTTATTTATTTATTTATTGAATGCGCTCAAAAGGCGCGCTA